TAAAATCTTAAAAAAAAAGGCTTTAGTTTTTTTTAGTGTAAGCCATGATTTTTATGCCTATGAATTATAAGAGAGCCATAGTATGTATTATTTTATTCATATAACACATGTTATATAGATTTTTAAGTTGAAATTGTTTACAGAATTTAATATTTGAATGCTGTGGTATGATGAGCACTGCATACTTACTTGCCTCCTCCAAACCACTGCTCTAATAACTTGAAATCACTATAAACAAAATGGCTTTGAATGGATTTAGGCACAGTATAAAGGTAGTAATGTCTATCATTCTTGGGACTGTCTTTTTTCTGAGGATTCCGAGGTTAGCTACATGACACTTGGGTCTGCCTTTTCTTCATTGACACCCCAAACTGAAAACTTTTTTCCTACCTCAAAAAGATATCAAAGAAAGCTGTTTTATCTAAAATTTTCTATTTAATAGGCATCATTCTCCATGTTAAGCCTCCTTCTCTATCTAACAGAATTAATCAGTGTCCTTTTATTTTTTTTGATTCTGTTCCTCCTGTTATTATTTGTACCACATTGTTTTGCACTTATTATTTACATATTCCTCTGCCCCTGAGGCCCTGTGAGAACAGAGACAATTTTATTCTTATTTCCAGCACCAGAACCTTCTCTGGGCCATAGTAGGCTCTCAATAAACGTTTAATGATCAGAACTGCTCATCAATATCTTGAAGTACTGCCCATATATACAATAGTGCTTACTAAGATATGTCTAAGTATGTTGGATTGGCCATTTTAGGTTTTTAATTTTTTAGATCCAACCTCTAAAGGGCCGGATGGCAAGTGTCATAGACTTTGTGGGCTATTTTGTCTGTGTCACAACCACTGAGCTCTGCCGTTGCAGCCTGGAAATGGTCAGATACAGTGTGAAAATGAAGGAGGATGGCTGTTTTAATAACTTTGTTTACAAAAACAGGCAGCAGGCTGGATTTGGCCTTGCCAATCTCTGCTCTCAATCACTGTTTTGAGGAGTGGAGGAAGAGGGAATGGAGATGCCAACCATGCATTGTAATAATTACTACAGTCCAAGTGTCTTATAAATGTTGGCAATGAGAATTACGATGGACATAACATTTTTGAAATATCTGCCATTAAGACAAAGCCATGAAGTTGTAGTGGATAAGCAGGAGTAAAAGAATGAGAAGCCCTGACAAGACTGGGATAAAGGAAGAGTGTGGAGAAAAGAGAGCAAAAAAAAGTAAATGTGGCTGACAGCAAGATGTATGTTGGTCCAAAACCTCCAGTAGGAGTGCTTTTAGGCAGATTGAAGAAAAGATGAATCTGCTTGTTTTTCATTTGGGTCAGGAGAGAAAGAGCATCAAACAGCAGTGGTCCTCAAATGTTTGCATACTTCCTAAAAGAATTTTGAAAACAAGATGTATATCCCTTCGCACATTTCCAAGTTGACATTTAAGTAGGATGCGATTTTCAGCATATTATAGATAATGGCATTGAAAAAAAGTGTCATGTCACTCTGTTAATATATCCAATGGAATCTCATATCATAGCAGATTTTTCACTTTTTTACAAAAGATTTTGTTTATTTAAGATAGAGCGAGAGTAAGTGAGAGAGAGAGAGAGAGAGCACGAGGTGGGGGGAGGAGCAGAGGGAGAAGCAGGCTCCCCCCTGAGCAGGGAGCCTGATGTGGGGCTCGATCCCAGGACTCTGGGATCATGACCTGAGCCAAAGGCAGACTCTTAGCCAACTGAGCCACCCAGGTACCCCAATTTTTCACCTTTTATTTTGAATGATTTTAGGTTTACAGAAAAGTTGCCAATATAATAGAGAATTCCTGTCAGCTTGCTCTATTGGTACATTTCACATAACCATCATCAAAACTAAGAAACGAGGGGCACCTGGGTTAAGGGACCTCAGTTAAGCGGCTCCCTGCTCCCTGCTTCTCCCTCTCCCTCTGCCCCACTCCCTGCTAGTGTGCACGTGCTCTCTCTCACTCTCTCTCAAATAAATAAAAACCTTTTAAAAAATTAAAGAAAACTAAGAAATGAATATTAGTATGATACTTTATTAACAAACTATAAATTTCATTCTATTTTCACATTTTTCCATGGTGTGCATTTTCTTTTCTGGGATTCAATCCAGGATGCCACCATGCATTTAGTTGTCATGTCTTCTTATTCTCCTCCAATCTATGACATTTCCTCAATCTTTCCTTTTATGACCTGGGTGCTTTGGAAGTGGTCAGCTGTTTTGTAGAAGTTCCTCAATTTGGATTTGTCTGGTGTTTTCTATTATTAAATTAAGATTATGCCTTACTGAAGAGGATACCAAAGAAGTCATGTGCTCTTCTGAGGGCATCATGCTAGGGATTACATGATGCTGATGTGGCTGATTACTGCTTATATTAGCCTTGATTACTTGAATAAAGCGGTTTAATTACTGTAAGGTTAGTACTTTCCCATTATAATTAGTTACTGTCTTGGGGGTGATACTTTAAGGCTATGCAAATTTCCTGTTTCTCTTCAAACGGTCACCCACTAATTTTAGCACCCACTGGTAGATCTTGCCTATATAAATTATTACCGTTGTGTTTTCCTAATGGTGATTTTTGTTTCTCTCATTCTTTCTACACTTACTGTAATTCTTCTGTGGAAAAGAACTGTTGTTTCTCCTCAGTTTATTTATTCATTCATTCAGTTGCTTGTTTTTTTTTTTATCAATATGGACTTATACATATTTATTCTATGGGTTATAATCCAATACTATCAATATTTTTTTTTCTCAAATTGTTCCAATGTTGGCCATTGGGAGCTCCATCAGGTTAGTTCCTATGTTCTTTGGTCATGACCTCATATTTTTGTGAGCAATTTTTTACTTTCCGGGGCCACAAGATAATCCACTTTCATCTTGCATTTTTCCTGCCCCAGACCTGGAATCAGCCACTTCTCCAGGGCATCCTAGTTCCTTTGATTGGAGATACATTGACAATTTGAATTCCATCATAATCTATTTAAAAATAGAAATACACATAAACAAGCTCTTGGCAGTCAGAGATTTTGCTTTGTTTTTCTCCTTAGTCTTGTATTTCCATTCCAGTCCACCCATAGAATTTTATTCTAATGTAATATATTTTTAATCTTGAAAATATTTTATTCATCACCTCGTCATGTTGGCCTACAGTAAAAAATATGTATGTAAATTAAAATTATTTTAAAAATTCTCTGTGAACATAGGCCCTAGGTGTTATACATTTTCTTCTATATTGAACTGTCACTTTAATTTTTATTAGTACACAATTGATCAGAACAACATAAATATATTACAACAGTTAATAAATAATTAGTATATATCAAACTAAAATGTTATAGGTAATGTATCTCTTAATGAAATGGACGTATCACAGATAAAATTAATTAATTTCAAATTGCCAGAATGAGTCAGGATTTAGCATGAATTCTACTATTATTATACTCAGCCATACGTGCTGAGAAACTCTGGTAGAGATTGCTGGTGCTCATTGTAGTTGGTTATCCTCTCCTTCCTGAGCACACTGGGAGAGCTCTCAGACTTTCTTGCATTTAGGTTGGACCATGTGACTAGTCTGGCCAATGATTTGTGAGTGGAAGTGCCACTTAAGGATGCAGAAACTTAAGAGTTCTCTACTCCTTTTTCCTGCCATAGTATCACATATTCCCGAGGTAGGGACATGGAGCCTGGATCTATGAGTTATTGCTTGGATGTGAACTTCCCTGGAGAACCAATGGAACCATAGCAGGCTTTGCATGACCAAAAAAATAATTTTTGAGTTTTGTTTTGAACCATTAACATTTGAAGATTTTTTTTGTTTTCACAGCATGCCCTAACCTATCCTGACCAAAATAAAAACTTTCTTCATATAAATAAGTAGATGGGAATGAAAGGGGATTTGTTATAGCAATATAATTTCATTATTTGAATTATTTTCTCATTTGTGCCCAAAGTCACAGTGATCCTACAATAAAAATCACTTTTCGTCATCTGTCAACTGATAATTTGATTATGTCCTTCTTGAGTTTTGCTTAAAGCAAAGAACTGGAAACAGTCAAGTTGCAAAAGGATTTGTTACCCAGTCATTAGAATGATTCACTTTGTCAGTTTCCTAGAAGTAAAATTAACAGGCTTTACTAAGACTTTTCAAATGACTATTAATTATGCTCTTTCACTCATAGGCACCCCTTGTTTTATCTGATATACCAAGTAAGGTTGGGGAAATGATATTGTTAATGTCATTATAGTTTTGTCAATACTATTTTTCTATTAAAATGTCTTTATCTTAATAAGTGCTTTAATCATGACACTAGAGTTGTTAATTTAGTTTATTCAGGTAATGAAAAATATTCGTCATAAAACTTAATAGGTAAGGCCAATCTTCGTTGTCAAATCCCTGAGCCAAATAAGACAAATAAACATTCAGAAAAAAATCTGATTCCGTTTTTCAGTTCAATGAGCATGTTAAGATTCACCTTCACTTAGAAATCTAAGACAGATAAAGCACAGGGCTTTGTCATAAGCTTTTCATCAGGATAAGGTAAGATGTCAGGTTCTTTTTTTTTTTTAAGACTTTATTTATTTATTTGACAGAGAGACACAGCAAGAGAGGGAACACAAGCAGGGGGAGTGGGAGAGGGAGAAGCAGGGAGCCCGATGAGGGGCTCGATCCCAGGACCCAGGGATCATGACCTGAGCTGAAGGTAGACGCTTAACGACTGAGCCACCCAGGCGCCCCAAGATGTCAGGTTCTTATCAGTATCTACACTCCCTTTGCTTTCACCAGAAATTTCCCCAGAAATACCTTCTCTGGCAATAGTTAGGGGCTGCATGAGATAGTCTTAAACAAAAGTAGTAGTTATCATTTCTCTTGTTACTCTGTATAACGCATATTAACTTAGAATATCCGAACATGGAAATTTCTCACTCATCACTTCATCCTTTCATCAAAAAATGTATAAACACAGGGAAAGACATGAGGCTCTACACTGGTTTTAGAATTCCTTTATTAAAAGAAGCTTCACTAACATCACGACTTTGAATTTTTTCTCTTTGTTTGGTGCCATGAAGGATTTTCCCAAGATAAAGCATCATAACAAGATTTGGGGTGAAAGCCATGGTTTGTTTGTTTGTTTTGTTTTGTTTTGTTTTGTTTTGTTTTGAGGTAGAGATAGGCATTTGTACAAGAGAGGTGGAAAAGAAGAACCAGCATGACACTATGCTCTCACATGTGTTCTCATGCAAGTTAATTCTAAGAAAGAATATATATGAAGGTTAAAGATTCTGGAAACTGAGCTCCTTAAAAATATCCATGCCCCTCTGTTCCTTGGAATTCTTTATGTACCTTCAGGGTATGTGTCCTTAGTATGAAGACTGTTAACTTCAAGAATGTATTTCAATAGTCCATGAAAGCTACATACTTAATCAACGATAGGTCCTAAGTTAGCTTCTGTCAGGTAGAGGTAGGAGACCCATTGGAGGACTCCAAGGCCCTCTAAACTGGAGACTCTCCTATATAGGAGATGCCTGGACCCATGAATGCAAAGTCCTGCAAAACCACTGTCGATGAGAAATAAACCTTTGCTGTGTTCAGCCACTGCGATTTTGGGATTGTTTGCTACAGCACTTAGCCTCCCCTAATAGAGTAACTGATGTGCTAGATAGGTCTCACTACTGCAGAGATGAAGTGGCCTTGTATAACTGCAGTGTTCAGGTAGAGAATTGGATGGGAGTCACAGCCAATATACTGAGGATAAGGCAGTGCCAGGGAGAGCCAGAATGGAGCCAAATCAAAGAGAATAGACTACAGGTTGCACCAACTACAGGCTTCATATCTGATGCCAGCTAAGTTCCCAGGAGTGGGGCCAGACAACCACCCTCAGTGGACACAGATAACACATATTTATAGTCACTTATCACCTTCTCCCCCCAGTACTACAACAACACAAGTTTTCATATATCCAATACCATTCTGAGGAGGAAAAGGAAACTCCTAAAGACTGTTTATCTAAAGAGATCACCTAATCCACCCTTGATAGGAAGGGGACTTTCAATTGAAGAAGCATTTAAACTAAAAGAGGACTGTTGGAATTGGAAGAGCCCAAGATATATTTAATTGTAAAATCCAAGATTTTCCATTATCCAGAGTCATGGATAATAATTGATATATATATATATTTTTGGAGAGGGGCACATCAATTATGTGTGAATGAGTTTGTGACCCTGATGCTTTTTTGTTTTTCATGCTATAGCTATGAAATCTAGTTCAGATTAAAAATAGATGTGCAAAAAGTTTTTTAAAGTGCACATCTATAAATAAAACATAATATTTCAGTACTTTCTATTTCTGAAATTTCAGTAATGGGAAAGAGTGCATGATCTTGTCCATGGGGACAGATTCTCCAGAAATGTAGCTCAATACTAAATAGCAAAGTACAGAGCATTGACAAACAGAGCAATTTCTTTCTGCAAAACCACTTTATTAATGACATACTTTGTCAAATTGCTATGTGTGACTATTCCACTTCAATATACCTTGACTAGAAGGATAATTGATTAGCAGTTTTTACCAAGCCCACTGAAAAGAATAGAACTTTAATTTCACTTGACAGATTGTTAAATCAGGCTTTTATACCACCTGGTTAGTTCAAGGCAATTATTCTTGTGACTTCTAAATAGACAACTGCTACATAATAGAATATCTTTTAAAAAATGAAGTCTCAAAACTTAAAAAAAAATTATGGAAGTAGATCTTCCTAGTGTGTAAGCTACACACCAGTAGCAAAGAGCCACTTTTGGAAGCTGTATTAACTGTTTCAGGCCACGAGGACTCCACTCTTAGGGTATATTCATCAAATTCTATTTCTAAGTATGATGGCTTTTCACTTAGAGATTCACTCATCCTTTCTCCCAGAGTTCCACCTTGTGACTAGTGGCCACTAGTTTTCAGGGCAGCAGGATGTAATAATTAAAACGCACACTCTGGGGAGGCCTTGAGATTCCCCCAGTTCTTCTCTATCACAAGACCTTACTTAATTTTCATAACCACCTGGTATTTTCTACTTATGAATTTCTTTACTGGATTTCTCTCACTTTTCTCTCATTGGAAAATAAGTGACATAAAAACAAGTTCTCATTAATTTGCTCACCCCAATCCATCCAGTTTCTAGAATGGCACGTGGTTTTTCATAGGAATGCAGGGAATAGTTATGGAATGCGTAAACTTTAAAATGTTGATTCTGAAGTCACTTTTCCATAATGAGAAATTTGTGAAGGAAAGTCAAATCTGTGATATTCAATTTGTGGACAGTATCATGCTATTAATCATTATTTACCAACAGCATTAACTAGTCCAACACAAACAGAGATGGTTCTTAAGAACCATAGTTTACTAAATAGAATACCCCACATAAACCTGTTTATATAGCAAAGGTATCTAGATTATAATTGGAGAGTCATTTATTTAGTACTTCTCAATATATCTTCTAGTGTGGTTCTAATGGTACTGTAATTCATATCTTCATTTTTCCCCCTTTACATTTAAATTATATGTTGTATTTTTTAGTTGTTAGGAGAGTTATATATTACTTTATACCTTTAGTTTTAATAAAGGCCATGAGTTTTAACAATAGCAAAACTTCAATAAATTCCTTTAAGCTTATCTATATTTTAAAATAACAAACAGTCATCATTTAGTAAATGAAGGTTTTAGGCCACATTATGTAGTTGCTTATGCAAGTGTGCTGCTAACCAAGATCTTCCCTATTTAAAGACAGGTAATTTTTCTTCTTTAGTTTGAGAAGTCAGAACTAATAAAAACAAATATCACCCTAAATATTAGTTTAGAGCCCAGAATGTGTGAGTTTTAAGCTTAGAAATTTGTTTTCTAAACCCCGATGTTAAAATGATTGAATTAGAAAACAAACAAGAAACCTCTCAGAAACCTTTAACTTTTCATCTTGTATACAAGCATAGAGTTTTAAAATTTGTTTTGCTTCCTCTCTTTTTTAATGGAATGAGTGTGAGTAAATGTCTGAATAGATATCAGATTAGTTTGAAAATTCTTTTTAAATTTCAGTAGAAACATATTAATACAAAACCTGTTATTCACATTGGTTCGAGAGTCTTCAATAGGGAGTTATTTTTAATAGTTCTTGTTTTCTGACTAGTAACCATTGTATAATTTCCCCATTTTAAGAATAGATCACAGTTTGGGGAAATGAATAAATCAATACCCATCTGATTTGGTTACAGTTCAAAACCAGTAATCAGTTTAAGAATAATTAAAATAGTGACACAATTCACATTATAGTGGCATCTGGTATGTAAAGGAAAATGCAAGGGAGACTCCTCTTAAGTCTTTACTTATCGTTAGGGCTGTAGCGTTCTCTGAATTCATTGTTGCTGGTCATTCTTCTCAAGGTCACAAATGAGAATATTTTCTTCCAAATGTACTGTACTGAAGTTGGCTGTAGGGTAGTAAGGATTCCTAAACTGTGCAAGTCTCCTGAAGATACCTCTGTTGTGCTTGTATATGCAGAAGGAAAGTGTGAAAAGTGCCAGAATTACTGTCAGTGTCAATGCTACTGCAAGAGGTACAATACTGTGACTTGGTCCTGAAAAAAGATGCAGAAAGGAGAAGTTCAATGACAATGAGTTAAGATAGATACTGTCACATAGTTACTTTCTATATTATTATTTCTAAGAGAAATCAAAATGTTCTGTACTGTTCAAACCTACCTTTTCCTGAGTGCTCCTTTACTGGGTGAATATCTAAAACCAAATACAAAAAAAAAAAAAAACTGAGATGAAAATTTTCTTTTAATTCGATTATGTTATTATTTATAGCAGGGCTCAACAAACTATGGCTCATGGATCAGATCTGGTGCCTGTTTTTATAAATAATGTTTTACTGGAACTCAGCCACACTCATCCGTTTATGTATCGTCTGTGGCTGCTTTTATGCTACAATGACAATGTGACAGAGACTATATGGCCCCCAGAGCCTAAAATATTTACTGTCTGGCCCTTTACAAGAAAATTTTGCTGACCCCTGGTTTATTGTAATCATTATCATTGCTCACAAACACATATGCTGTTTTTTTTTTTAAGCTGAAAAAGTTCCATCTAGTCTCAGCACTGTGCTGCAATAGAAATACAAATAAAATATAGTCCCTGCCTGCAAGGAACTAAGTTTTGTTAAGCTCTGAGATGGAGTTTGTCCAGCAATGACAATCTCTTTACCTCCACGCAAGGATTTTAAAATCAGCACCTTCTCACCTTTGCAATCTCAAGAATCTCAGGAAATGAATAACAGCTCCCCCATTCAAAAAATTGGAGGGTTCTGTTTGAGGACTTTCTACTGTAGAAATGTATCTCTTTCAAGTAGGCTCTATCTCTAAATTTGAGCTCTGCTATTTTTAATCTAGGTAAAGATCCAGAGAAATATGTAGAGAATGACTCAGAGGAAGATCAGTAAAGGGATTGCGAGTGGAGAGAGTGCCTTGGTGCAATACTTATGCCCATTCACTCTTACACACTTAAAAGAGATTTAAAAGAAACACTGTCACCAACAGCAAAACCACATTAACAGAACTTGTTTTTGCAACTTAAAAATAATACTGCATACTTTTTCATAATACTATTGAAAACATATATTATGTGTGTGTGAAGATACTTTTTAAAGAAAGACTGTTAAAAGAATATTTATTCTCTGGATGCATGCAGAGGGCAGATATAGAAGGAGCACATAGAGTCAGAATATTTGGAGCATGGTCCTTGATGTAGCCCCAGTTTGGACAAGTGCTTTTCTCATCTGTAAAATGGGAATATTGTATCTGCTCCATTGCCTTAGGAAGTTGCTGTGAGGGATGAAAGAGGTGTCCTCTATATTACAGGAAGCTTTAAAGTCCTGTACAGACACGAGGTATTTCTGATCTGTTCTTGAAATTGAATGTTATTGATCACTTGGGCACACTACTTATTAGGCTTAGTCATGTTTTCCACAAGAGTTGCTATCCACACTACTGGGCTTAACCGTTGGTGCAGACACCTACCAGTTTTTTCTCCTTCATTCCCACCCAGTGTCTAATCAGATCACCAAAGCCTGATGATTCTCTTTTCCCACTTCTACTCTTCCTCGTGTTCCCAGTTCTATCATTCAAATTACAACTGCCTCCCTTTACATCTGGATGAGTGTGATTTCACAGCAGGTGTCTACAGAGCACCTACCAGTTCCCTGTCTTCTTCACCATGAAGTTCAGCTCTTGAGACTGGTACTCTCTGCGAATGGATCCTACATTACTGTCCAGTTTTATTCCCATCACTACCTAATGTGAGCCCTTCACTCTAATATAAGCTTATTCTCAATTGCTGCCTTTAGTCATACTGGGACTTTTGTTTAATATGGCTTCCCTTCTCTATTCTCTTTATCTTTTGGGATTCCAAAACCTTATCTCTTCTCAAACCTTCACCAGCAGCCGAGGCCACACCAATTCCTCCTTCTCTGCAATACTGGCATCTAGAAATGTTGTGATTATTATTAAAAACACATTTCTACTGTTAATGATCATTGTTAACATCCTATCTTAGAAATCTCTGTATTGTTTGCAATTGACTACAATTTTCTGGCTTAGATTTCTAAAATTATTATTTCTTTTTATCACCACAAACTATGTAGCTGAAGGTAAAGTTAAACTTTTATAATATATTATGGCTAGCAACAGAGAATCACATCTGCTTATCCACAGCAAGAATATCTAGGCCTAGATTATATTTTCTGGGACCGAAGATGAATCTTAAAATTTCTGAGCAGCAGTTGCCAGAATAAGGGTTGCTGGTTAATATTACTAGTTCTATTTTTTTGAGGTTAAACTGCTTTTTTGCCCATTAACGGCTAGGGTGACACTGGAAAGTCATAGTCTTTATAATGATTTTTTTTTTCTTCATATTAGAGAAAGAAGGAGCTGAAATGTCCTCTGACTTACTTGATGTTGAATAAGATGATAATGTTAGAATCTATCTGAATACTCCCCGAATACTTGGATTTTCAAAGCTTTAAATGCTAAAGAGGTGGGTCAACATTAGTCAGGGTAGCATCAAAATGAAGAATTACCCTCTGGCTTTACCCACCTGCTCCCATTTTGCATATAAATCCTTTTTTTTCTTGACATGGGGATAACTGCCATACTCCTTCGGGGATCCTCAGGGCAATACATAGATGGGGTTTGACATGATCCATCTCTGGCTTCCGAATGCCCCAGTTTGACTGGTCTGTGGGAGTTCCATCAAACCACTTTGTGGTTTCATCTGTGGAAAAATTGCTGACTTACTATGAATTATATGTACAATTATCAAATATACTAAGACTGGAGTGAACCATAAAAAGCAGCTCCTCAATTTAATGAGACTGTCTCCTTATCTGATGCATGCAACTCAGTAGGTACAGTCATGAACTCAACATCAAAAGGTAGGTATTAGTAAAGTTGCCTTGTGAATAGCTCTCTCCATTTGTTTTAGATATACTGTTCTAATTTAGTTCATTTAGAATATCATCTTTCTTAAGGTAACAGTGTGAATTTTGAAATATTCCCTATCATTATAGTCAATTTAAAGAAATCATTTTAAGTCCTAACATCTATATCATTGCAAAATAGCTCATTTTCTAACATAATTTTACAGTGAATTTCTTTAAAAAGCAATCCACAGGTGTACTAAGGGGTGGGGGCAATGATAGAGTCCATCCATGTGTAAGCAATAATGGGGGTACATTGTCTGAAAGGATTTAAGACCAACAATAAAAGTAACTAAAAGTCGGTCATCTTTTTATTGTCACAATGAACTAGAAATTCTAAACAATGTCTGTGATTGAAACACTCCCCCTTATCAGAGTGGACCCACCCTCCACCTTGGTATACCACTGTAATAAGTTCTCCATACCAATTAAGATAATTTTCTTTATAAGTACTTTCAACAACCATCAGTTACATAGAGAGAAGAATGCCATGCTCTCATTTGATCACAAACCCTGGTTTTTATGAGAAGCAAATAATTTTAATAGCACAATTTATCCCTGAAACTATCCCTGAAATCTGTTGTGCTTTTATAACATTGAGGAATAATCTGGGTATTTTCAAATAAATAGGGTTTTGTTGTCTATGACTAAGTCTGTGAACACAAGTTTCCATCCAAGAATCTTCATGATGTGAGGGTAAGTATAAGATAAACTTGTTGTTTGCTTGTTTTCATTTTTGGTATTGTAGGATTATTTAAAGGGACACAAGGGTATAGAAAAGGGTTAGCAATATTGTCTTTGGAAGAAATGGCTTTAGGATTCATGCTATTTTTTCACAGCAAATGTATCCAAGAAGAGCTTTCTGGTTTGCAGATGCCATTTTCTTTTTTTTTTTTTTTTAAAGATTTTATTTATTTATTTGACAGAGAGAGACACAGCGAGAGAGGGAACACAAGTAGGGGGAGTGGGAGAGGG